CCATATTTTCTCAAGCCTTTACATCCTGAATCAGAAGGCCCTTCTAGATCTTTCTGGTTTCTCTGCTCTTGCACTTTACAATCTTGATCACTTGTTCCTTTGTTTAAACAAACAAACCCAATTAAACCATTTCCTAATTATCAAAGTGATACATACTTATGAATGTAACAATGAAACAAATCACCCATAGTGCCATTTCTCAGGGATAACCACTGCTACTAATTTGTTTTCCTTCTTTCCAGAGGGATGTGGATATATGACTTTTGGTTTCGTTTTTAAAATTCAGCATTGTAGGCAGTCCATGATCAGATGCTTTCACCCCACTGGCTCAGTGTTATTCCATCAGAGTGGATCTTACTTTTCATTGGTTTATTTACTCCTATCACCCACTCAGAGAAGTGGAGTCCAATTACTATTGATTCACCTTTCTCATGCTTAGGGAGATAAACCTGATCCAATAATAGGCAATCAAAACATTCCTTTTCATGTTGATACATGAAAATTTTCCCTAATTTATTTACTGAAAAGGAGAGCATTATAAACTAAAACATGTTCATTATGACTAATGGTATTTTCCTAAGACAGAATAATAACAACAGCATCCTTAAGGAAATTCTCTATATAATTGGGGTCAAACTCATATACAGTTTGTGTCTGTGTTTTTATTCAACTTTGCATTCCCAGCATTTTTCCATATCACTAAATATTTTTCAAAAATATTATTTTTAATGGCTTCATTAAATTTCTTTGAATTGGGGATACCATCATTTACTTAACCATCTTCCTGTTTTTGGATATTTTTGTTGTTTCCATGTTTTGAAAACTTTTTTTCCTCTTGTAACACTGTGGTGAAAATTCTTGTATATAAACCTTTAACCTTATTTAAGATTATTTCCTTGAGAATTTATGCCTTAAGGATCCAATAACCTCTTAACTGGTCTCTATTACTTCAGAGTTTATCGCCTGCCTATTGCTGCCAGATGAATCTTCCCAAATCATCAATTACATCATACCATCCCATGCTCAACAGCCCTCAATGACTTCTCGTTGCCTGTAGGAAAACACCTCCAAATTCTTTAGCTTGGGATTGAAGTCTTTGACAGTCTTATTTCTTCCAGTTTCTGTACTCTGTTGTACCCGAAGTAACCAGGCTCTCTGGGACAGCTCTGTTCTCACCCAGCACCCACCTTGAGGACTTTCACTTACTGTTTTCAACCCTCCCTTTCCCAAACCAAATACATAACACAACTCCAACGTTGTTGTATGGGTTCCACTGCTTGTCGCAAAATAAAATGTTTAATTCATCCTCAAGCATCTCAGTTCTTTCCCTTCCTCAGGGTTTTTCTTCTTTTTCCAGCTGATACTGTATTTATTTCTAATCAATCTCTCCCCACCCCACAAGCTTTTCTGGATATCACCTCCCAAGCTTGCCAGGATTGTGTGTGTATGTGTGTGTAAATGAATTATAAAAGGTCTGAAAGTATACACAACAAACTTGACCTATGGGAAGGGCCCTGGGATGGAATTCAGAGAGGATTAATGGAAACTTTCACTTTTTACTCTATATACTTCTGTATTGTTTGAATTTTTAACAAGTATTTATTTTTAACTTAAAAATGATAAAATTATATATATATATATAAACAGCATTGTAAGATATAATAGAGGTAAAGGTTATAAAACTGCTTTATACATTTTTTAAAGCTCAGAGCAAATGTAATTGTGGTTCCTTCCATGGCTTTGCTCTGATCAGCTAAAAGGCATTCTAATTTGCTAGTTCAGCTGCTACCATCTTTCAAAGTCCAGATCAATTTCTATAGCTTACAAGGGTCTGCCTTGATTACTGAAACCTACAGTTATCTCTACCAACTCAAAGTCATATGAAGTTGACTTCCTTGGTTTTCATTTGGGGTATATAATGACGAATAGAGAAAGGTCCATTTAGCAGCAATTTGAATCATGAAAAATGGTTCGGGATAACTCTCTACTCATGTTAGTCTCTTCTACCATTTTTTTTTTATAGATGTGGGTCATTTTGTTTTTGTTTTTTGTGTTTAGTGAGAAGCAGTGATTACAGGTGCACTGCTCTCTATGTGATCTGGGGAATGTCTAATCCTCTTGGGACTTCTTCATCCAGAATATGAAGGGGTTGGACTGGGCATATCTTCTAATGTACCTCTGGTTCAAAAAGTTTATGATTATGTTAGATAAAATGATATTGCTTAATTCTCTTAATTTTAAAATGTGTGCTTTCTCTTTAAAAAAAGTTATTCCAAATCTTTTTATCTAAAAATACTAAATAGGACAACTCCATATAATTAATTTATTGATGTAGTAGAAAGAGCATTAACTTTGAAACCAAAAGGGCCTGAATTTGGATTCTAGCTCCACCATAACCAAATCGTGTTATCTTAAAGAATTTACTTAACTTCTTTTAGTGTCAGTTTCCTTACATGTAAAAATTGGGATGATAATATTTGTCTCCCTGGACAATACACATAAAGGCACCCAAGACAGTGCCTGATACACAGTATGCTCTCAGTAAATGTTAATTTCCTTTCTTCTTTTATTAATAACTTTGGTTTGTGAAAGGTGCACTTTAAAAATGTTTATACATCTACAAATGAGATTATAAGAGAACAAAGTAGTTGTGTTGTTAAGTATGAATATGTGCAAAGAGTTTGTGTAATCCTTGCTCTAACTGTATGCAGAAATGCAGAACCAGGGCCGGCCCCGTGGCGCACTCGGGAGAGTGTGGCACTGGGAGTGCAGCGATGCTCCCGCCACGGGTTCGGATCCTATATAGGACTGGCCGGTGTGCTCACTGGCTGAGCATGATGCGGATGACACCACACCAAGGGTTGTGATCCCCTTACCGGTCACGAAAAAGACAAAAAAAAAAAAAAGAAAAAAAAGAAATGCAGAACCATGATAGGCCTGTGTGTTATTTTATCTCTTATAGGACTTTAGGTGTGGCTAGCAACAGAGGGTGACACCTTTGGTGCCTTATAACTAGTTGGTTAGGGCAGTCAGCAACTAGGAACCTTAGACTGGAGTCTAAGACAACTTGGCTTTATATCAAATATTATATAGCACCTCAGATGCTTTCAGGACTGACATCTGTTAGGTACAGTAGACACAGTGCCTTAGGCCCACAGTACTTCTGGGGGCCCATGAAATTGTTCAATTTCTTTTAAAATCAGGAGAAAAAAATGAACTTTTCAGTAAAAGAAAATGTTTTAATATATAACATTAATATATTCATCTTTATACCAATGCTGTCGTAAAATATAGTTTTAATTTTCAAAATTAAAAAACAATTTTTTTTTTTTTTTATGGAGGAAGGGGCCCACAAAAATCATACTGTAGCCTTGGTTGCTTTAATGAAGTTTTAGACTTTCTCCCAAGGATCACATCTTCTGAGCAAGTCAGGCTGAGTAGCGTTTGTATAAACAAATTTCACTCTTTCCCAAGGTTCATTGGTGTGGTCAGAGTTCCATTTCACTGAATGGGTCTTCCTATTTTTATTCCTGGCTCCATGAGAAGGTAGGAGATAAAGCTAACATGAAAACAAAACAATAAAAACAGGTATTTATAGCAAGCCTCAGAGTCTTGTAGCATAAGATTAGAATCTTGGGAGCAGAGGGTTTCCTCTTATCCCATACTTCTGTAAATTTAATATATAAACTCCTTCATGAATATTAATGAATTTATAAAGGAATGTTTGGGAAAAAATTCAACAGCCAAAAAAAAAAATAATCTAATTTTGGCTGAATGAAAGAGAAAATATGAACTGCTTAAAGATAGAAAATGTACAGGAAAGCTGACTTTCTAAGATATGGAAAAGCAGGTACTGTGAGAAGAAGGCTGTGTGGCACAGTGTCTCAGTAGAGATCCCCATGTAGAAAGTAGGACATTTGGTCAGTAAATGAACTGATCTCAGCTCTGCCTCTTAAGAATCTGGAGACATTAAAAGGGTGGAGTAAGGGCCGGCCTGGTGGCGCACTGCTACAGTGCGCCGCTTGAGAGCGCGGCGCCACTCCCGCCGAGGGTTCGGATCCCACATACAGACCGGTTCCCGCTCACTGGCTGAGCGAGGTGCGGGTGCGACGCCGAGGGTTGCGATCCGTTGCCGGACATGAAAAAAGGAAAAAAAAAAGAAAAAAAGGGTGGAGTAAAATGGAGATCAACCATTGTGATTCTAAACCAAACCATTCCTGTGAGCAGTTGGCTTTGGGGGTGCCCCTAAAAGGCAGCCTTATGTGGACAGGGATGTAAGTTGTTTGGAGAGGAAAGCCTGGTTGTGGGGGGTCAAGTCCCAGGATCCATGCCTCGGGTCCCCAGAGGGGCCCCAAGGTGCTGGTGGTATGCCTGGTTGTGGGTGGGGTGGAGCCTGCATTTCTAACCTCTGCCATTACTCCAGGGGAACCCATCAATGGTAGAACAGGTGAGCAAAATGCAAGAGTGTTAGGGTGTATTATGGGTCACATTGTTCCCAACCAAATTCATACGTTAAAGTCCTGACACCAAGTACCTCAGAATGTTACCTTATTTGGAGACAGGATCTTTATAGAGGTAACAACTTTAAAATGAGGTCATTGGATTGGGCTCTAATCCAGTGTAACTGGTGTCCTTATAAAAAGGGGAAGTTTGGACACACAGACATGCATACAGGGAGAATGCCATGTGAACATGAAGACCGCCATCTACAAGCCAAGGAGAGAGGACTGGAACAGATCTTTCCTTCTGATCCCTAGGAAGGAGCCAATCCTGCTGGCACCTTGATTTTGGACTTCTCCCCTCCTTAATTTAATTCTCTAATACTTTGTTATGGTGGCCCCTAGAAGTTAATATAGGGGCTGAAACATCTTTTGTGTGGACTAGTCTTGCAACAAGATAAGGTCCCCTAATACTATTCTGGAGGGCCTGAACACATTCTTTATCCTTGTAGATAGATAATGATCAATTGTAGAATAAACTTTTTTTTTTTTTTCTTCAAGAATTTTGGACAAACTGAAAATAAAGGTGGTCCAAGGATTTGGAGTGTGAGCACCTTGAACCGATAAGTTATGGGAAGTAAGACTTGGTATGTAGTATAATTAAGTTGTTATTTGTGCCTTTTAAATAACTAGCTTTTTAAATATTAGACATTAGCCAAAATGAATTTCCAAGATGGTAGAGTCCTCTGTCCTTAAGAACATTTAGACACCATTGGGGCAAAAGGGAATTAGATTGAGCTGAAGTGTTTTAATCACAGTCTAAAATATATCCAAAAAGTATACATGATGTGGTTCAGATTGCATCAGATGCAGAGTTCTTTTGGTGCAAACCCTTCATTGGAAAATTTGGTAGGTTAATAAAAAAGCTTTTTTCAGCGAGATAATTTTAAAAAATTTCTCTGTAGACAAATTATTATAACCACAGTTTGAGTGCTGCTCATATTATTTGTGTACAAATAATTTATTTGCATACAAATAATTTATTAGCATACTAATGAAGGGAATAGCTTATTCTTCCTGAATTTCTCTCTTCTTCTCCCACTGCACTAGGTATGATGCTTATATCCTTCTGTCGAGGAAGTCAAAATCATTCCTAACCACCTTCCTGACAAGTATCACCTTGAGAGCTTGGTTTCTCAGTGTTTCCTGATAAGCTCTTATTTAGTATTTAATTTTGCCACTCGAGAGGGACGTCAGCAAGTGAAAGTTCTCCAGAAGAAGATCAAATGTTTTTTCTTCGATTAATGTTGTTTTGAAATACTATAAGGAAAATCATAGGTGAAAACAATTCATAAAAAAATCATATACTGTTACATATGTCTTCAAAGGAAATCAGTAATCAGAAGGTATTTTATGTTAGTTGTGATTTGAAAATATAGGTAGGATGTATTTAATCATATATAATTATAAATTTGATAGTGATATTTGACTAGGAAATGGTATTCAAGATGGTTCATTGTGCAAGATAGGTGTATCAGATGCCTCTTCTGTGCCAACTTAAGATAGGTGTATCAGATGCCTCTTATGTGCCAACTTAGATTCTCTGGCTTTTGCCAGTCTCTCTGGAGCTCTGGACCTTTTCGTTCATAAACTCTAAATGCTGCAATGGCAACTGACTTTGTATGGCCCCAGGATATAGGAGATGGGAGAGATCTTGTAGATGATATCTCTCTGTTTTCCACCCTGATAGACTATTCTATGTGAAAGCTTTCTATAGACCTTATTCCAAGTGAACATGTTTCTTTGAGAAGTGGGCAATTTGATAATATAATATCTTGCATTTGCTTCCCAACCTTACCTGCCTCAGTTCTCTTTCCGTCACTCGATACTGCTCTGGGATTATACTTCCCAATAAAGCTTAGAGCTTAGGCTTTGCCTCAGGTTCAATTTTCAAGGGAACTTTCTCTAAGACAATAAGAATTCATAAATGTTTAGTAAATTTAATTGAATTAAAAAAAATCCGTGCTAAATGGGGGCTTTTCTTTAATCATTTTTATCTTTCTGTGTTTCAGAAGAACTTAATCTGTACTTCCTGATCCGTTCATCCTGTGGCTGTCACTAGATTGGTAAGTATGGTGCCTAGAAAGAAGTAATCAAATCAAAACCTATTTCATTGATAGTAAGTGGTCTACAAGATGACTCCAAGAGAAATTACATTTCCAAAAGGCTAATTTAATAAGGGAAAGGAAAGGGTGAATTATTCTGGGTGAGAAGAGAACAGTCTAAATTGTGAGCCTGAAGCTCATCTTTTCCTCAGAGATATAGCTCACTTCTAGATAAGTCATAGCCATCTTCTTCAGGTACATAACACAGTTAGGAAAAACTCCTATGTAAATTCTGGCCTTCATTTTTCCTTTAGAAGAAAATTAAAGTGTTTCTCTAATGTTTATCCAATTTCAATGTATTTATAATGTGTATATGAGACTTGACAGGCTGAAAAATGTGAGGCTGTTCTATTAAAAGGACACAAAAGAGAGAAGGCAATTTTATTTTAACTAATTAATTATTATTATTATTGTTATTTTTAACCACTCTGTCACCTTTGGTAGGAACTTACACAGTAACTAAGGGAAAATTGGTTAAGACATTCAAGATGTTAAAAAAGTATATACATAACATCTGTTGTGTATTTTGGTGCATGACTGTGCCCAGGGCCAAGACCTTCTGTGCTCTTGGGAAGGCAGGCAGGCATTATTACTATTTTTATTGTCATCAATGTTATTAATAATAAAGAAGATTGTTACATAAATGAAAGTAAGAGGCACCAGCTATGCTGACCTGAATGAAACCTTTTGTAATTTAATGAAAAAAGACAAGAAGAGATAACATTTAGAGTATGACCTATTTTTTTGTGCGTATGTGAAATTGGCATCAAGTAACTATATTTGTATTTTTTAAGGATTATGTAGTCAATCATATCCATAGTAAATGAAGAAAATTATAAATTTGTATAATTTGACAATCAAAAAGTATGAAAAGGAAAGCCATGAAAGGGAACTGTAAATAAAAAAAATCTTGAAAGTTCTGCTTTTATCGAGATACATGTGGGGGAGATTTATTATAAATCAACTGATCAGATGTATGACTCATATTCAGGGATGTTACTGGAATTGACTATTTGGATCTTACCATCACTGGAAGTAATGCTTGATCTTTTCACTGATCATAAAGATGTTTCAGAAACAGTGACATAAGCTGCACTCAGTAGAGTCCACTGAGGCCAACTGCAGCAGCAAATGTATTTAGGTATTTAGGCCAGCAAAGACGCAATGTCTGGCTTTTACTTTTGTTGTAAGGGCAGAAAAGAAGAAACATTCATTTTGGTTAATGTAATATCATTACAAATGGGGCAAGAGAGCAGCAGAGCATAAAGAGCAAGGAGTCAGACTGTATTAGTGGGAAGATTAAGAGATGGTGGTGCTTCATGTTGGCGGGGGTGGATGAGCAGGACTCACCTGTGCGTCCATTGTGGTCATTTCTAGACTGTCACATGGGAATCCTAGACTGGCTGCTGATCTGGGAAGGACTGGCATTCTCAGGTTGCATCAGTGCGTTGAGCCCTAAGTGCCACATGTGGGACAAAAAAGGAATGTAAGCCATAGGCAACGTTTGCAGGCTTCAGGTTGAAGTAGAGGAGAGAGAAAGAAGAGCAATATACTATGGAGGCAGACCATTCAACCCAGACTCCCCCTCAGTGAAGAACTCTCTTTTATTGTGTTCTGGAAAAAAGTACAGTCAGTAGTGTAGCCCGGTGGGAGCCTGATACCAGCCTGTGGATTAGCTGCGCCAGTATCTCCTAGAGAACTTTAGAAATACACTTCCCAGAGGCTCTTATTCAGTAGGTCTGAAGCAGGACCTGGAATTCTGTGTTTAAAACAGTCTCTGCAGGTGTTTCTTTATAGCCAGTCATGTTTGGGAACCTCTGATCTAAACTCTACTTAAACACCAACAGCAACACTGAGCTTATTACTATTCAGTTGCTGTCTAGCTGAAGTGGTAAGAAGGATTCATCTTATTTCAAACCCAAACCTGCATCTTTAAAGCATCCACCCATTCTTTGGTTCTCTCTGGACCTTTTAGAGTAATTTAAAGGTCTTAGATTAAGTTGGATAATTTAAATTTGTGGTGGACCTTGTCATCATAGTTTTATGATCTTATCTAGAAGAAAGGTGGTCTGGGAACAGAGAATGTGAATGATGAAATGACCCAGATTTGGGAACTGGAATGACAGAAAAGCAACAAACTGAAGGTCTGTAGGATGCTGGAGAGGGAAACGTTGAAATGACCATCGATTGCTGGGGAGACAATTGAGCCCTTCAGAACAGGCGTGGACTAGAGTATGGAGAGATATTAAGTGGTTGAGGGGTGGGCTATGCTGGGGGGGGGAATTCAGTGTGGGCTGGGTCCATGTCTAGCTGGTTTTCCATTTATTTCTTTGGCACTGGTGTCATATGTTCTTAATTGGTGTTTTTTGACTAAGTGACAGTGGCAAGAGGCAGATTTAGTAGATATGCGGAGGCAGGAGAAGAAAGTGAGGAGAGTGTATCAGAAAAGGAGAGGTGACTGGAGATCTTGGAGGTAAGCAGTTCCTAGTGATGAGAAAGTCAAGTTGTGGGGAATGTGTAGTGGAGTTGAAAGTGGGAGCTGTTGAGAAATGCTGTGGTCATTAGCATGAAAGTTGCTATGGGTGAGGATGATGGTCAAAAATGGGGCGAGAGGAATGGTGACTCAGATGCTGAAGGGATTGAGCACAGTGTTTGGAGGTGGGGTGGACGTGAAACAGAAACAAAAAGAGGATGTAGCAAGCATGGACTGCCTAGTCCTGGCTCTGGCTTGTGGGTGAGTTTGGGCAAGTCTCACACCCCTAATCACATTCTTTCTGTCTCCCTTACAGAGCTGTTGGAAGCTCACGTGAGATATAGTGATCATGTATGTAAAAGCCACTGTGAAAAGATTGGTAATTGATAAGGGTTGTCCTAGTTTTGAGATCATTCAACACAACTATTCTAGTTACAACACATCAGTATTATGAGATGTCATAAAATGTATGCATGGTAAAGCTACAATTTCACTTGAAAGAAAAATATCTAAAATCCAGTATTCTGTAGCACAAGCAGCCAAACAACCATTAAACTAAATAAATGACTTTTATCTCTGGAATTAATAGGTCATGTTTGGGGAAGCTGATTCCAATATTTTTTTCTTTCACCTGGCACATGTTGGCACCTACTGAAAGATCAAGAAATCCATGTGTTGAGCATGAATCTGGGGCTGCCGTTGCTGCAGATGTACCTTCCATGACTTGATTTTCTGTAATATTAATTACTCAGGTAAAAACTCATGTGTCACTAAATGGTCCTTTGATTCTGGCATTTCATTTTCAAATTCATTAGAATTAATTATAGTTCTGTAACTCTAATTTATAAGTTCTAGCAACTGGGCATTTTTCTCTAGTGTTTTCTTACATGTCTCTTGAACCATGGTTCCTTTTCTGACTTTCTAATATGCAAAACTTAGCACACAATCTACAAGGAAGATGCATTTACAAAGATTAGTCCAAGCTTTTCTTACATTGCCTTTACTTTCCACATTACGCTTCTGCTGTGGGGTATCATCTCAAAATCTTGCATAAATCCAAAGTTGGATTCAAATATGGTATCTATTATTTAGTCTCTTGTCTCATTTCTTTCTTTCTTTCTTTTTAAAATTGGGTTGTTTATCTTTTTGTTGCTGTGTTGAAAGAGTTCTTTATATAATCATAGTAGATACTGGATACTTATCAGATACATGATTTACAAGTATTTTCTCTCATTCTAAGGTTTTCTTTTTTTGTGTGTCTGGACAATATGGGGATCCAAACTCATGACCTTGGGGTTATAAGGCTGTACTCTAACCAACTGAGCTAAATGGCCAGCCTTGTCTCTCATTTCTAATGTAGTAATTGTCACCTAGTCCTTTAGGAGGTTCAAGAGCTTAAAACATGAACTTCTGGTAAAGAAAGGAGATATGCCCAGATTCATGGTATCCTTCCTTGAGGACACATTTCCAGGATCCTAGATAAGGCAGAAGCAATATTTAAGACCTAGAAACATAATAAATACCATAGGCTCTTTATTTAAACCCTAATGAATGGTGTTGGTTTTCAGAAGCTGGAGGTCAGAGAGGAAAAATGTTCTTCTGAGAAAGGTGAGGTCAGTTTTCCAATGTTTGGGAGGATTATTATCAATTTACACCTCAGTAATGTCCAATCATAATTACCATGCACATCTAATACTCTCAGCAAAATAAGATACAGAGGAGTTGGCTACAAGTTATTCCAAACCCTTTTGTTAAAGAAATAGCAAAAATAGAAAACTTGGAGGAATCTTGAACCTAACAGAAGAACCTATTTGGAAACTATATTTCCCAGAACAGATTCAGGAAAAAAGTTATTAACATGTTTTCTCTTTTTAAAAAAATTTTTATTCAATCAAAATTGATTATACAAATTTTTTGGGTTCAACATTGAGATATGTTGATCAAATCAATATTACTAGCATATATATTGTTACAAAATGTAATTATTCTTTATGCCCTTTATCCAATTTCTCCCCATCCCCCTGCTATCCCCCCTCGCCCCTCTGATTACCCTAGATTTCTTCTCTCCTTCTGAAAGAGTAATGGCTACTCTGTTGATTTGTTGCCTAGATGATCTGTCCAATGCTGAGAGGTGTGTTCAGGACCCCCAATATTATCATAGAGCAGATGCTTCTTCTGTCACTCTCAAATGGGCTTTGTGGAGAGAGACATCCTCTTCTTTTCTTTGGTCTCTGCTGGTGACTCTCCTTGTGCCAATGCACTCCAGTGGCTGGCAGACCATCTGCGTGGTGGTTGTGGCATCTAGCTGCTTTTGTGGCAGCCATGGTTATGGTGGTGGCTGTGGTGGGCCACCCACATGGAGGTGATGTTTATGGCATGCTCCTTTGTGCTGGCAGTGTGCCTGGTTGTGGGGAGTGTCTGGTCCTCAGATCCATGCCTTGGGATCCTGGGTGGACCCTGAGGTGCTGGTGCGGTGTGCCTGGTTGTGGGAGGGGGGTAAATGTTGTTAACTTGTTTTCTGTGCTTTGAATTACAGAGATTGAAAGTAAAATGATGTTAATGATATCTTGAAGAAAAGGAGACTACACAGTGGAAAGATGGTTTTGGAAGACTAGAAGGTGAATCTTTGTATTACTTTGATGTTTTTCCTGCGTCTACGTAGCTGTAATGTGACTGTGCCATTTCCTTGCTCTGTTTGGCTCAAAAGTTTTGTATAATGTATTTTATGGTCCAATTGTGTCTCCCCAACAGATATGTTGAAGTCCTAATCCCCAGTACTCAGAACATGACCTTATTTGGAAATAGCATTGTGTTTGCTGAGATGATCATATTAAAATGAGGTCATTAGTGTGGGCCTAACTCAATATGACTGGTGACCTTATATAAAAGTGAAATTTAGATACAGAGACAGACATGCATGAAGGGAAGTTAATATAAATACACACAGGGAAAACTCAGCCATGTGAAGATGGAGACAGAGATTGGAGTTATGCTACCACAAGCCAAGAAACACCTGGGGCCACCAGAAGCTACAAGAGAGGTATGGAACAGATTCTCATAACTCTTAGGAGGAACGAACCTTGCAAACACCTTGATTTTGGACTTCTAGCATACAGAACTGAGACAAGAAATCTCTGTTATTTAAACTACCTAGTACATGCTACTTTGTTATGGCAGCCCTAGGAAATTAATACACTGTGCTTACATGAAATCTAGGAACTTTCAGTGTTTCCCCCAATCCTTTGCTGCCTATTGAGAAACAAATGTTCAGAGCTTCTAAAATGCCCTTAACCCTATCCTCTTCTGTTTCCTTGGCACAGCTGTGGATAAATGGCAGGTAAATAAAGTCCCTGTAGGGAGAAGGCTCACCTGTTTGAAAGATTGAACTGTGTAAGTGAAGTGAATTGCATGCGAATTGTGTTGTAGATTACTTCATGTCAGGACCAGTAAAACCTTAGTTAGACCTTAAGAATCTCCCAGATGACAATATTGGCAGATCTTAACTATGAGGAGGGTGTTGCGATAATAACTAATTCAAGGCAGAATATTGCTTTTCTCTAAAGAAGATTCAAAGAGGGAGTCAATAACATTAACCTTCACATCAGTTAGTCCGAGATGAAATACTAGCTCAGGCATTGACTAATCGAGATTGTCTTGTCCCTTGCGTTCTTGTGCTGGGAAATAACTTAGTTCAGTATCTTTAAGATTTATTCACCTTGTATTTACACTGGATCACATTCATTGAACTGCAGACTGGAGCCAAGAACTATATTTTCGAAGCTGAGCTGGTGATAGGCAGACTGTCTCTCAGACCTTGGAGTCAATCCAGCAATCTTAAATATTGATGTTTTTCTTTATGGCACTCCAGGGATATTTTCATCATGCTGTGCTCTTTGTGATCCACTGAACCAAACCATTGCATTTGATGCTTTTCAAAGACAGGTAGACGCTCTTAGTAAAAAGTACTTGAAATGCTCATATGAATGACTGACAGAAAATACCTTTATAAACACTTAAAAATATAAATAAAATACACCTGGTGAAAAGGGAAAATATAAATATTTCAACTTGATGTGTGTATGTACGTGTGTACACCCATATGCATACCCACATTTTTACTTAAGTCTAGTTTATATAACTATATAGAGAGAATTGGAGCTACAAAAATCTATTTGCATTTTTAGGAGTGCATTATATTATACCATCATAGTCCTTTATCAGTTAGATATTGTTAACCACCATTGCTACTACCAGTGCTGTTACTACTACAGTTACCACTTAGAAGGTATTTACTAAGTACCAAGCAATGTGATAATTGCTTCATCAAACACAATCCCCTATCATTGTTTTGACAGTCCTATGAAATATATATTTTTGTCTCTGTTTTACAGACTAAGACACTAGGGTTTAGAGATATTAAATAGCTTGGACAAAATCACACGGTAAATGGTGGATCTGGGATTAGATCTTTCTGACCCTGCAGTTTAGTATTCTTATCCATTTTCAATTCGGTCTCAAGTGTACTGTGGGGAGCAAAAACACTCTATTGGGACAGGTAAAGACCCTACTCTGAGAGCTCAGTTTTAAGCTGGCAGAGATCAGTGCAGAGCTGACATACATACAAGGAAGCAGCAGAATGCCTCAGCAACTGGACAATGCAAAGCAGTACTGAAGAGAAAAGCCATTCTTGACCCTAAACAACCAGCAACAGCACCTTTAAATAAAGTTAGTAAAGATTCAGTCCCCTATTGTAGCCATAGAAAAAGACTGAGAATCTTGAATAATAAAGGTCCTTCCACAGGAAATCAACATCCAGCACAACACTAAAGGAGACAGGAACATGCAGAATGTGCAAGACAGGCAGAGAGGTCTGCAAACCTGGGTGACCTGAGAAGAGGAAATGGATCAGAACAGAACAGAGGCAATGCTCTTGGTCAGGAAGGGGAACTATAAGTTAACATAAGAAACCCCTATGTGACTGTTTTAAGACATGGCTGTGAATTCCTTGACACCCTTCTTACGGAGAGACAGGAGTCTGTGTCTCCTCTTCTTAAATCTGGCCAGGCTTGTGATTGGTTTGACCAAAAGAGTATGATGAAAGTGATGCTATGTCACTGAAGCTAGGTCACAAGACCATGCAGCTTCTGCCTTGTCATTCTTGAGCCCTGAGACTCTAGGTAAGAAGTCTAACTACCCTGAGGCTGTCCTACAGGAAGTGCTCTGGTTGACAGTCCCAGCTAAGTCCAGTGTTGTAGCCATCTGTCTTCCACTATGAGGTATCAGACATGTGATTGAGGCCATCTGTCAGCTGCATACAGCAGAGTGACCACCATCAACATCATGTGGAATAGATGAATCACCCAGCTGAGCCCAGCCCAAATTCCTGAAAGACAAAATAAGAAGATACAGTTGTCCCTTGGTATACATAGGGGCTTGATTCCATGACCCCCTGTGGATACTAAAATCTATGGATGTTCAAGTTCCTGATATAAATGGTGTAGTATTTGCATATAACTTATGCAATCCTCCCCTTTACTTCGAATCATCTCTAGATTACTTATAATACCTAATACAATGCCTACACATGAATTCATTCATGTGGATTCAACATAGTACTTGGTGAGTGGCAAATACAAGTTTTGCTTTTTGGAACTTGGCAGAATTTTTTTTCCCGAACATTTTTGATCTGCAGTTGGTTAAATCCATGGATGTGGAACCCACAGATATGGGGTGCCAGCTGTGTAATAAAATGGTTGTTTTATACCATTGGGTTTCAGAATAATTTGTTCCTTAGCAATATATAAGTGGAACCTCTAAGGATGGAATTTGTAGGTTATTAACCATTTTCACTCATTGACCTGGTGGAATAATTGCACGTGGAACTTTGGGCTGAGGCGTAGAACCACAGAGGTCTCCTTCATGAGTGGGATTGTGAGATTTCAGGATAGATTAATGCACAGGTTTACTGAATGACATTGGTTATATGGGAAGGTAGTCTCCTTGGCAAAGGAGTGGGCTGTGGGAGTGGACACTCAGGTATTGGGCTAGATCTTTGTGGTTTGGACTCTAGCTTTATTTCTCCTACTGATGCAACCGTCAGAGCTTGGGCAAATCTTGCAACCTTTATAATGTTTGGTAATAATACCTGCCCTGTAGGGAAAGAAATGTGGCCTTGAGAAAAACATGAGTTAGTATGTGTGAAAGCAATTTAAAAAATATGAAGCATATATAAATGCATTACTTCTGTGTTTATTCATAGAGCTGCATTCTACTGCTGCTTAGCACTTATCACATTGTATTTTAATTAGATGAATGCATTAATCTCTTCCCTACACATTATACCTAGAATAGTACAGAACATAGTAGGTGCTTGCTAAATATACGCTGAAAAATAACTTATTAGAATTAACACTAGATAAGGAAGACTGGAGAAAGATTTAGTTGGAGATTAGTGCTGATTAAAAAAAATAATTGTAGTAAAAAAGATGTTAGAGATAATCCATTCCCATTTATCTTAATTTTCTGATGGGCTCAATAGAATACCATGTGTTTGAACTTGACAAATATTGGTAAAAAGCCAAATGGGGTCTGTCATCCAGTGGTTGCAGTGGATACAGTTCTTACCAGTTCTGCTTTAAAATGGGAAGAAGCTTGGTAGGAGAGAAGGATAGAGGGACGAGATAAAGATGTGTCTCATTTCAATGATTAATGAAAACAATATTGTCCAGAAAGTTTATGGTTTGGAAAATCAACTTGCTAGAAACACGGAGTGTCCTCTGCTGGCAGTGAAATGCCTTCGATGCTCTGAAGAGTTACAGGGGAAGTTCATGGGCCAGTGCCACATAAGCTCAACTAAACAATCACCATGAACCTCTTCTGTGGCATACAGTCATGCCAAAGACATGGTCCCCTCCCTTGGGGAGTTTATAGTCTAATGTAAGTATACTGCCTTCACGTTATTTGCAAACTTAGTTTGTGAAACAGTGTTTCTGATGGTCTCCTTCCTTTGCCCAGTGCTTGCTTCCTTTTACGATTTGGGAAAGCTACTCATAACAACAGAAAGCTATTGTGAAGCTATACAGATGGGGAGGCTCCTTTACCTTCATTTTTTAAAATCTTTTTTTGGCACTCAGTTTCTCCTCTATAACGTTGGGGTAATAGTTTTGTTTTTTTCTTCCCCAGCAACTGTATTGAGATTAATTAAAAAAAAAAAAAAATCCAGAATGCATTTAGAACACTGCCTGGAATGGCAGTTCGGCATAAATGTCCTTCCACAGTCTCCCTTTTTTCTTCAAAGGTGTAGAAGGGTTCCATTTATCTGCACATAACATAACTTGTGGAAGCCTCACAAGGGTGATGGATATATTTCTGTGGTTTGGACCAGCTCTTTACCTCTCTGCAGAAGTGGGGTGCTGGGTGCAGAGAACAGTCACTTGTGCAGCAAGATTAAAAGGGTGTCTGAAGACTCCTTATACCAAAATAGCTCTACTTCTGATGATCCCTGAAATTCCTTTGGACATCTACTGTATTTCTTGGAGGTACTTAGCAACTCCCTATTAAAATGCAAATTTTCTCCATGCCAGAAGGAGGCAGTGTAGTGTAGTGAAAATGGGAATAAGCTCTAAGCTATACAGACCAGACCTGAATTTAAACAATAAAATTTCCACTTCGTTGCCCTGGGCAGGTTAAATTTAACTTCTCTGAGCTTTTGTTGCTTCATTTGTAAACTGCCTTGAGGGGTTGTTATAAGGCATACAAGTAATGTATCCAAAATGGTAGACAGTCAAAAATGGTGGTTATTATTCACATTAGCTAACTGAAGCTACCATAGGGTAGGTGCTTAGGGAAGGAAGACAACCAGAAGAGTGAAGAAGGGGCCATAAGGCAAGGTGGGCAGGCCTTCAAAATATTGCCTGTGTCACAATTTGTCTTGAGCAGTGGATTCATGAACTTGGATGGGAAAAAAACTTAAGTCAATGTTTCCAATAAACTCTAACTGAAAATTAACACTTCCTTTCAATATGTATATAAGCAACAAGCCCCAGTGATATCATCAGTATGAGGATACTTCAAAAAGTTCATTGAAAAATGGAATTAAAAGATAATATGAATCTTTCCACAAACTTTTTGAAGACCTCTTGTATCTGAATTTATCACCAAATCATAGATATGTTCATATCTCATTATAATGCTCGCAAATAATTCAAAATATCATTTTGCCAGTCACCATTTAAAAATTTTGGTAGTATTACTCCTGCCACTGCCACTTGCTACTTAATATGTTAATGGAAAAGTATATATAGTACTATGCCAAAAAATTGCTTTTAAAAATATATTAGGTTATTCAACAGTATCTCAAGATAGTTAGCTCCTTTTGCAATCTTATTCATTTGTTTTATGTTTTCTGAGAAGAGATCCATAGGCTTTTCACCAGACTACCAAAAACAAGCAAGCACAAAAACAACTGAAACATTTTTGTCTAGAGTAAGAATCAGCTGGGTAGTGCAGCCACTCAGGGTCACTGAGGGGTTGACCTCCTTTTCTGAGTGTTGTTGACAGTGATAGAGATGCTCACCACTCTGGCCTTCTATAAATCAAGCAAAGGGAAAGTGTGATATCTCTATCATCTCTATCTCTATCTCTATGCATCTCTATCTCTATCTCTATCTCTATTTCTGTGTATTTTTTTCCTCCTCATTTTCACATCCAGGAGTGATAATTTTGGACCAAAAAGAGAACAGTATTAATGGAATTCATTACAAAGAGAAAGTTGAAAAGACAGGTTGCCATTCTGTCTGACCTTGAATAACACATGTACATGTTATGAGCAGAAAGGAAGGTATGAAATTAGTTCATTGGGGGAAGTGGGAACATAACCAGTTAATTATGTATTTTGAACCAGTTGAGATATCCAATCTGTTTCTGACCCCTCATCTGTAAAATGGTCAAGATGTTTGGGAGATGCCTTGGGGACTTTATGGCTGGTGCCAACAGCTTCTCCTTCTACTTTTCTGGATCTTTCTGGGTTTTATTTTTGGGGAGCTTAAACTGATGCATTGAACACTAGGAATAATGGCTCCTCTCAGATATGATTAAGAAAGTAGTTGGGTGAGGGTAGGATAGTGGGGGACAGGGCTGGATGCAGAGAGGGAGAAAGAGAAGAGACCAAGAAATTTCACAGGCAGTCTGACCTGAACAGAATTAACTAGACTAATGATTTCAGACTTTTTTGTGCATGTAATCTGTAAAAAATTTTTTAAAGATTCTTTTTGAGTTAACACCTAAAATTTTTTATCATAAATTTAAATAGTTGCAAAGTATTATTAGATGATGTGCTGAATATTACATCCATGATTAAAATATATTTTCATCTAAACTTTGGAGCTGCAGATTTGGCTCATTAAATTTATGGAGAGTGTCCATCATATAAATTAATTGGCAAAGCTAGTCCTTATTGTCAAACCATCCTGCCAATTTGGACTTACTGTCTGTCAGAAAAAAAATCTTATTTCACTTTTAAATTCAAATAAATGTGTGAGTATGCGACCCTTTGATACCTGCTTGCTTCTGAATTCTAATTCTAAGAAATAAAGGAATGAAACAAGGGAGAGAGGGGAGGAAGAAGGAAAGAAAGCTGACACAGAGGCTTGCCATGAGTGTTTTACACCCCTTCGGTATTGCCTTCTGAAGCTCTCTTGCTTTTTTCTCCAAGGACTCTCCCTTAGGAGGAAGCCATGGAGGTTTTCACACCCCAAGAAAATGCACCTGAGTAAGACTGAGTTGGGTGAAGACTGTGATGGGTATGGTTTTCTTTTGCAAAGTAGAAGTACTGTTGGGAAAAAAAAAGAGAGTCCTAATGGCATGGTCTTAGGCAGGTTAATTTCAGGAAAGAGTACATGCTGAAATGGAAGATTTGGGAAGTGATTCCCCAAAGCTATGCCTGCCCATGTACTGCTTGGAAAGTCTTTATGCACCAGGGAGCATGTACCTGTGCCCCAGTTTGAAGACCCCTGAGCTAGTTCAATTCCATCATGCTTATTGCAATTTGCCCCAATTCATTATGAATTAGTGGACTGAGTGGCAGACACCAGAACAATCTCCTGGTCCTGAACTCTTTCCATCTCTGTCCTGAATGGCCTCAGGTGATGGAATTGAGGTGGGTGGGTTAAAGCATTGTGATGACCTGGAATTAAGCACATTCAGTGGGTTATTATTGTTATTTTTCTTTGTAAACCCCACATTGTTAACCAGCCTTTTTTGTTTCACAAGACATGAATGTCCTGCCTTTTTTTTTTTTTTCTTTCTTTCTTTCTGAAAAAACACTGCCTTTGTTCTCTAGTCCCACTGGGAAGGAGGGGAGCACAATGTCGCATTTCCATGCACTCCTTGCTGTTGAGCAGCAGCGTGGCGTGAACACCTCTTTGGAAGCACAAGAGTTGTTTATGTTTGGCACGCTCAGAGGGAGAAAAGCTGAACAAATAGATCTCTTCCTTCAAGTCATGCTTCCACACCCCACTGGAGTGGGAAGTGTGAACCATCAGTAGAAGATTGTTGGCCAATTGCATTTCTGCCCACAGGCACGAATTTGCATGGAAATTACTGCTCTGGGTTGTCAGGACTCTTCGAAACATTTCACCCAAAGAATTACATCCAACTTGGGAGTTTGCCCTCTGGGCTGTATCTCTGTTGGACCAGGAAAGTGAGATTCCTCTATGAGAAAGGACTTGCTTCAGAGTCTTCAGATTCAGGTATTACCAGCATAACACTCCAGTAGATTTTATCTGTCTCCAGTGTTGTCTGTGTAAATATGGTGAATACTGAGATGGTGGGGAAGTTGGGGTAAAGGTTTGATCATGTTTTAATGACTGGAGGAAGTGTTAAAAGTATTTCCCCAAATTTTCAATCTCCTAATTGGCGGGTACAGATGCTGACTGCGTTCCAGAGTTGGAGGGGGAGCAAAGTGGGTATAAGGTAGAAGGAATTGCAGGCAAAATAGTGCAGAATGGCCCCGCACCCATCTGAGGTACCTCGCCCTCTCTCTCTGTGGGGCCTCCCACTTGCTTCTGGGGTCCCATGTCTTTCCTTTCTCCCAGCCATCAAACTTGCTTTCAGGAGAATGCCTGACATCAGTAGTCACCCCTCAGTGTGGACTGAAAGGGGCTGAAGCCTTTCCCTGGGGCACAACTCCTGTGCCTCTGTGGTGGAATGAAAAATTGGTCTGAGGTTCCAGCCATAGTGAACAGGTGGGAACATTTTTAGTCTTTATCTTATTGTAGTTTTTGGTACATCTGAGTATTTATTTACTCCCTACTCTCTCTAGACGCAAGATTGGTCCTATTTTTGACATCTTAGTCCTGTGAAATGACCAAAATTGTAGGGAACCCAGGAAATGAGGGCTGCAAATGTCTTAGTGAGAGTTAGGTTACTGAGGTGCTGAATAAATAGCTGCAAAATTCCCCTGACAGCTTCCAGTCATAGCATAGTTCCTCCAACAGGGTCAGAACCTCCAGGAGGCCACAGAGGACTCCAGGCTCCACTGTCAGCTGACTCAGAAGGGAGAGGTCTGAAGTGTTCATGGTCTTATACGAGGTGCTTCAAAAACTTCATGGGAGAGCGGGCCCGTGACTCACTCGGGAGAGTGTGGTGCTGATAACACCAAGGCCACGGGTTCGGATCCCTATGTAGGGATGGCTGGTTTGCTCACTTGTGAGAGCGTGGTGCTGACAACACCAAGTCAGGGGTTAAGATCCCCTTACCGGTCATCTTTTTTTAAAAAAAATAAGTTCATGGGGAGATTCGTATTATTTTTTGATTCTGTTTTTTCACAAACTTTTTGAAGTACCTTGTTTTTGTGGAGAGGAGCTGGGGGCAGGAGGAAAGTGGGGTACAGAGAAAGCTGACAGAGCTCTCTACTTCAAGAATTTAAAAAGGAAAGGCAGCATATGTATGAGGTGAAATCAAATAGGAATAAAAAATAAATTCAATTTGAGCACAAGCCTTTGAAACATGAATACTTGTGAAGTGGGACAGACGAACATACTGGATGCCTTTTAATGCAAGGTTTAAAAGTTTTACTCATTTCGATTTTTCATAAATTGCTTTGTTGGATTTGGGGGGTTGGGTCTTTTTACGTAATCTTTATAATGGAATTTTGATAAGAGGATGGATGGCATTAGAGGAGGGAGTGACGGTTTAGCTGAAGGAATTAGGATGAGGTGAGTCATAACAAACGAGGAGTAGGCAGAGGAAAAGCCGAGGGAAAGGGGCAGAGGCTGAAGGGGGAGCACACGTAAAGGAGTAATCTAATGACAGGAAGGAAGAAACAGATGTCAACTTCGGAGCTGAAGGCAGGGGTTGCAAACTGGCAGTCCACAGGTCATATCCGAAGGTCCATGGTCAAGGGAAAGCCTTACTTTTGACTCACATAATTTAAAAATATATTAAATTGCTCATTACATTTAAAAACTCAGAGACTTCACACAAAACTTTGGGTTTCTGAGTTCTCTGGGACAACCAGAGGAGCTGGCAACACTGGCCATAATCCTGGGCTATGCTGAGAGGTGGCTGGCTCCTTATGCTAGGGCAGGAGCTCCACAGTTTGCATGTGCACCCCTGATTACTTCACGCCTGGTCACCTCACTCATCTGCATCACCTGCTCTGTCTTGGGGTCACTTAGTTTGTAAGCTTTGGATTCAGCCTATCTTGACCTGGAGAAGGGAGGCTGGCCTGTTGCTTGGCTTCTTGAGAGAATGGCTTGTCCCTGCTAATGTTCTTGTTGACTCCTCTGGTTATCAGCCAGGAGTTACACCCTGATGGTTGATGGGGTTCAGAACATACTACTCCAAAATATGGCACCTTGGCATTTGAGAAAACAGCAGAAGCAGGAAGGCCATTTTCACCTTCCCTTGCCCTTCTCCCCTGAAGAGCTCATAAAACCTTCATTCTGGATGTACCTTCCCTGTATCCAGAGGAGAGGGACATCTTTATCCTCAAAGACACAGAGACATGGAGAAGAATTTGAACAAACAGGTCTTGCTAAGTTCCCCCTAGTCTATTACCATTTGATTATACCCGCTTTGTCCAATCATCCTCCATGACTACCCACCCTTCATCAAACCTGGCATAAAAATACAGAAGTCTCCCCATCCCTGTTTCTTTGGGTCTTCATTTCCTTGGGAAGTTTCCCTTATCACATAAAACGTATTAAATAAATTTGCATGCTTTTCTCTTGTTAATCTCTCTTGTGTTATAGGTGACTCAGCCATGAACCTAGTGATGGGTGAAGAAAGAAATCTTTCCTCCCCTTCACAGTGGGGTGAAGGAAAGCTAGGAGAATGTGTCATGACATCATGTAGCTGGTAGTCACAAGCTCTGCTGAACATGCTCAAGATCAGAAATTGGAAATGGTGCTTAAGGAAAAGGAGTTTGCCAACCTTAAACACAAATCACTGAAATAATGATTTTTAAAATAATTAAATGCATTAATAAAGCTGTGGGAAGAATAATTGTCCTGTATTTTATTTTTATTTTTTAAATTTTTATTGAAACATAATTGATTATACATATTTTGGGGTTCAATGTTGACATATGTTGATCGAATCAATGTTACTAGCATATATATTGTTACAATTCATACTTGTTCTTTATGCTCCTTGTCCAATCTCTCCCCATACCCCCTCCCTTTCCTCTCCCCCCTCTAATTACCCTAGATTTCTTCTCTCCTTCTGAAACAGTAATGGTTACTCAGTTGATTTGTTGCCTAGATCTGTATTTTAAATAGTTTCAGAAGTGCCAGAAAAGTAAATATGTCAATTATACAGTATTTCAAGAAAATAATCCTCTAAGATATTCATCTAAGAATACACAGATATGATGAAGTGAAAACTCAGACCCACATGTCTTGCTTACTGAGATATTTTAGTCTCATGCTCAAGGTGCTATGAATTCCATACTTTGGCATTATTATTGTTTAAAATGAACATATTCTTATACCTCTGCATAATGAGGTGATTTAGTCCCACCTCACAACGGGGGCTGTGGAAGTGTCTTGGGGTCTTGGTGGAAGGTGCGATTTTCCTCGTAATGGGATAGTAGGCATTGTGGACACTAAGATTAGCCTGTCCAGTATCTGAATTCAAATCCTGTCTTTGCAATTTACTAGCTGTTAATCTTGGGGATATTACCTAAATTCTCTAAGGTAGTTTCTAAAATGAAGATAATAATACATAATGGATCAGGCTGCTGTGGGGATTAAAGAGTGAATGTATAATGCACACAGCTTAATGTACAAGACCTAGTTAGTCTCAATAAATGGTGGCTTTTATTATATTGGTGATGATTTGTGTTGCTCTTCCTGAAACTGCTTTTGGAAGACTCAGGTTCTCAGGGTCAAACTACAGTAATTATAAACCTATTAAGCTGTGTAGCATCTGGATCCAACTGTGGGCAAAATGTATAGATACATTATTGCTATCACCATTTTGTTCTCTCCCATCATCATCTCACCTTTGCAAACATCCATAAAGCTTGTGTTTATTGAGGAACCCCAATGGGTAAAAATAGTGAAGGGAAAGGCTAAAATGGATGGTTAGCACCAGGTCTGCAATATCAAACACAAAAAGAGAGGCTCTTTAAAACCTCTAGAGAGTGCCTGGTGGAGAAGAAATTTACCTGGAGGTAGGAGAGAGTTGAGATACTTTGACTTCATGCTGGGGTCCTGCTGGTTGTGCTAGGGGAGCAAGGGCTTGAATGCCTTGCTGTGGTTTGAACTTCTGCCACAGCCTAGAGGTTAAAGGAGCTTAATTGAGCAAATAAGTAAGCAAGCAAACATTACAACCTGGGGGAGCTGTAAGGGAACCAAAGGTTTGGGAGCTTTAAAAGGATGGGGTGGGGAGGGAGCTGCTCAGTGACCAGTGAAATAGCAATGGCCTTTGCCTTGGCCAGTGGTGGCTGTTGTGTGTTCTCTGGCATTAGCAGTGACTAGGCATGGGCAGCAAGGTGGAAACACTATCCAAGCCAGTGACGCCCCCGTGGAGTCAGCAGCCCTGCCCCTGGCAGAGCGGCCCCAGTCCAGAGTGAGGAAGGTGTGCTCTATGCTGGCACAGGGAATCTTTCCTGGGCTTCTTGAAATTTCTTTTATCGGTAGTTGATTTTCTTATAATAAAACTTCTTTGTAATTCATGTGGCTAATATGCTTGCAAGTGGGAGAGTCGATTCCAGCCTACTGGGCTGTCTAAATTTCCTCAGGTTTCTGAATGGGACTTAAAACATTAAAATGCTCGGGCCGGCCCGGTGGCGCACTGGATAGTGCGCCGCTTGGGAAGCGCGGCGGCGCTCCCGTCCGAGGGTTCGGATCCCACATACAGACCGGCTCCCGCTCACTGGCTGAGCGAGGCGTGGGAGCAACACCGAGGCTTGCGATCCCATTGCCGGTCCCCGGTCCGGTACGGGGGCAACACTGAGGGTTGCGATCCGTTGCCGGACACGGAAAAAAGACAAAAGACAAAAAAAAAAAAAAAAAAAAAAAAAAAAAAAAAAAAAAAAAAAA